TGTTGTATACTTCTGTAGGGGTTGGGGAGGAGAAGCTAATAATTGTTCTAGTCAACCTCACTCAGGCCTACAATTTCTGAGCCATTACAGATGTAAAAATACTTCCCATTGTTTTTCTCAATTTGGTTTAGTTTTCTTTTTCCAAGAAGGGATTGCAGCCTGCAAATATTTAAGCTACTCTATTCACTCCCTTTTTTTTAGTTCTACAAGTACAAATAAGAGCCAGATTGTCTTTCTTAAGTGAAAAATATCTCACTTTTTTCCTACAGTCATACTTTTTCTTAATATAATGGTTAAAGTAATTTCATGAAAATTCTGATCACCTCAAATGAAAACAAGTCATCATCATGGAGCTATAATCAGAAAAGTTATGGAAATTGTAAAAGATTATAGAAGTTATAATGTTTTTAAATGGAGGCAGGAGAAATTAATTTATATGGTCTTAATGCTAGTGATTGATAATACAAAAAAGTCTTAATTATAATGCTAATTAAAAAAAAGCTCTTGCTATATGAGAATGTTTAAATGATTCCTTAAGATTTAAATGAAAAGCTCTGAGACTGAGTAAAACAAATTATTTTCTGTCATATGTGGGCCAATTTCACTCATGTGACTATTTGGAGGCAGTGATAATAGCAAAATATCTGATTCAGAGTCCCTCTTCCTCCTACTCTATACCTCCTTTCTGGAGGGTCCACATGGCTGGCCACTTTTAGTAGCCTTTTAGCATAGTATTCCTTCTTATACCTTGTCTCAGAATAGGGGCCATCATTTATATGAGTTTGCCTGTGCAAAACATATGAATCCTAATCCAAACAAGAATGACTTAGATAATCAATGTAAAAATGATAAATGATCAAATTGTTATCTTCTCTTTTGAAATCATTATACTTGGGGAGGGCCACAATCAGATAATCTACCAGTAATTCAGCATAAACATGGAGACCAACTGCCAACTATTTCATCAAGAAGTTCCTTGAAGAGATCCCCAAGAATTATGTTTCACTGCTCAATCATATTCCTTGTATTCCCTCCCTCTTCTCCCTCTTTATTCCTATTGGGGGTAGAAGGAGTCACCATAATTTATACACTCCATTTTTCCTTCTTGTAAAAAGGCACTGCCCCTCATAAATTTTAACAGACAAGATGAACATTCCTCCCCCTCTTGTGTTTATGAACAATTTGATTGTGAGAACCTTCTACAAAAAAAAAAAAAAAAAAAGTCACCGTCATCGAGATGATTCAACTCATAGCAACCCCTCCTTGGATTTCCAAGGCAGTATTACTGTGGAAGTAGATTGCCCAACTTTCCTTCAGAGGAATGGCTGGTGGGTTTGAACCGCCAGCCTTCTGGTTAGCAGTCAAGCACTACACCACCAGAACTCCCTTCTAGCCCTTACCATTAACTTCTGGTAGCCTGAAAAGAGAGAAGCTGGATGAGTATGGATATGGTTAATTAGGCAGTGTTAGTGAAAAGAGTCATCATTTGTCAGTTTCATGTTGCTATGATGCTGGAAACTATGTCACCGATATTTCAAAACTAGAATAGTCACCCATGGTGGTCAGGTTTAGGCAAAGTTTACAGACTAAGACAGACTAAGAAGAAGGAACTGGTGACCTACTTCTAAAAAAAAATGCAGAGTGCAAACCTTATGAGTAGCAATGGAACACTGCCTGATATAGTGCTGGAAGATGAGCCCTTCAGGTTGGAAAGTACTCAAAACACAAATGAGGAAGAGCTACCTCCTCAAAGTAGAGTTGATCTTAATGACATGGATGGAGTAAAGCTTTCAGGATCTTCATGGGCTGATGTGGGATGACTCAACATAAGAAGAAACAGCTGCAAACATTCATTCATAATTAGAAAGTAGAATTTATGAAGTATGAATCTAGAAAAATAAGAGGTCATAAAAATGAAATGGAATGCATAAGAACAATGTTCTAGACATTAGTGAGCTGAAATGGACTGGTATTGACCATTTTAAATCAGACAATCATATGGTCTACTATGTAGGGAATGGAAAATTGAAGAGGGGTGGCATGGCACTCATCCTTAAAAAGAACATTTCCAAATCTATCCTGAAGTGCACCATTGTCAGTGATAGGGTAATATCCATATGCCTCAAGGAAGACCAGTTAATATGACCATTGTTCAAATTTACACAGCAATCACTAATGACTAAGATGAATAAATTGAAGATCTTTACCAACTTCTGCAGTCTGAAATTGATCAAATGTGCAACCAAGATGCATTTATAATTACTGGTAATTGGATGCAAAAGTTGGAAACAAAGAAGAAACATTGGTAGTTGGAATGTACAGCCTTGGTGATAGAAATGACATTGCAGATTGCATGATAGAATTTTGCAAGATCAATGACTTATTAATTGCAAATATCTTTTTTCAACAACATAAACAACTATACAAGAGGACCTCACCTGATGGAATACAGAGGAATCAAATTGACTACATCTGTGGAAAGAGACAAAGGAGAAGCTCAATATCATCAATCAGAACAAGGCCAAGGGCCGACTGCAGAACAGACCATCAATTGCTCATATGCAAGTTCAAGTTGAAGCTGAAAAAAAATTAAAACAAATCCATGAGAGCCAAAGTATGACCGTCAGTATACCCCACCTGAATTTAGAGATCATCTCAAGAATAGACTTGATACATTGAACACTAATGAGTGAAGATCAAACGAGTTGTGGGGTGGTGTCAAGGACATCATGCGAGAAGAAAGCAAAAGGTCGTTAGAAAAACAGGAAATAAGAAAACACCAAAATGCATGTGAACAGACTCTGAAACTTGCTCTTGAACATGGAGTAGCTAAAGAGAATAGAAGAAATGATGAAGTAAAAGAATTGAACAGAAGATTTCAGAGGGTAGCCTGAGAAGAAAAAGAATTACAAAGAAATGTGCAAAGATCTGGAGTTAGAAAACTAAAAGGGAAGAGCACACTAGACATTTCTTAAGCTGAAAGAATTGAAGAAAAAATTCAAGCCGCAAGCTGCAATATTGAATGATTCTATGGACAAAATATTGAACAACACAGAAAGCATCAAAAGAAGATGGAAGGATAAATAAAGTCAGTGTACCCCCAAATTTGGCTGATGTTCAACCATTTTAGGAGGTAGCATATGATCAAGAACCGATAGTATTGAACGAAGAAGTCCAAGATGCACTGAAGGCATTGGCAAAAAATAAGTCTCCATGAATTGATGACATACAAATTGAGATGTTTCAATAAACAGATCCAATGCTGGATGTGTTCACTTGTCTGTGCGATGAAATTTGGAAGACAGCTACCTGGGCAACCGACTCAAAGAGATCCATATTTGTGTCCATTTCAAAGAAAGGCAATCCACAAGAATGCAGAAATTATCAAACAATATCATTAATACTATATGCAAATAAAATTTTCCTGAATATAATTTAAAAATGGCGCAATAGTACATTGCCAAGGAACTGCTGGAAATTCAAGGCAGATTCAGAAGAGGACGTGAGATGAGGTGTATCATTGCCATATCAGATAGATCTTGGCTGAAAGCAGAGAATACCAGAAATGCATTTACCTGCATTTTATTGACTTTGCAAAGGTATTTCACTGCATAGATCATAACAAATTATGGGTAACATTTTGAAGAATGGGAATTCCAGAACACTTAATTGTTCTTATGTGGAACATGTACATAGACCAAGGGTCAGTTGTTCAAACAGAACAAGGGGATATTGCATGGTTTAAAATCAGGAGTGGGTGCATCAAGGTTGTATCCTTTCACCATACTTATTCAATCTGTATGCTGAGCAAATAATCTGAGAAGCTGAACTATATGAAGAAGAACACAGCATTAGGATTGGTGGAAGACTCATTAAACAACCTGCGATATGCAGAAGACACAACCTTGCTTGCTGCAAGTGAAGATGACTTGAAACACTTACTGATGAAGATCAAAGACTACAGCCTTTGGTATGGATTACACCCAACATAAAGAAAATTAAAAATCATCACAAATGGACCAATAAGCAATATTATGATAAATGGAGAAGATATTGAAGTTGTCAAAAATCTCATTTTACTTGAATCTACAATCAATGTCCATGGAAGTAGCAGTCAAGAAATCAAATGACATATTGCATTGAGCAAATCTGCTCAAAAGACCTCTTTAAAGTGTTCAAAAGCAAAGACATTATTTTGAGGACTAAGGTGTGCCTGACCCAAGTCATGGTATTTTCAATCACCTCATATGCATGCAAAAGTTGGACATAAATAAGGAAGATTGTAGAATAATTGGTGCCTTTGAATTGTGGTGTTGGTGAAGAATCTTAAATGCTGCATGGATTGCCAGAAGAACAAACAAATCTGTCTTGGAAGAAGTACAGCCAGAATGCTCCTTTGTTGTTGTTATGTGCCGTCGAGTCAGCCCTGACTCATAGCGACCCCTCCTTGGGTTTCCGAGGCAGTATCACTACGGAAGTAGGATTGCCCAACCTTCCTTCCGAGGAGTGGCTGGTGGGTTTGAACCGCCAGCCTTCTGGTGAGCAGTCAAGTGCTGGTAAAACTTCATCTCATGTACTTTGGGCATGTTGTCAGGAGGGACCAATCCCTAGAGAAGGACTTCATACATGATGATGAAAGGGTCAGGAAGAAGAGGAAAACCCTCAATGAGGTGGATTGACACAGTGGCTGGAACAATTAGCTCAAACATAATCAGGAGGATGTTGCAGGGACAGGAAGTGTTTCATCCTGCTGTACATAGGGTCAGTAATAGTCAGAACTGATTGGACTGCACCTACCAAGAAGAACTACAATGGACAAAAGTTCTAAGTATGATGAGGACCCCTACAGGCATGATTCTCCTTCAAGTCCTGTGGACCAGCCATGCAACTCAGGGCTCAGGGTTGGACTATGATCATAAATTCCCTTCCCATAACAAACAAATGCGGCTTCTCTTACATTTCCAGAGATCTTGCCACCCTCACAGAGATTTTGGTCTTACCTTTGAGCTACACTTGTACAATGGGTGACTGATAGAATCAACATAGTGGTGCCTCATGCAGCGTCGAGGGTCTGAGTCCATCATAAATGAACTGTCTGTTTTGCTGTCTGTATCTCCCATTATTGCTAGCAGGGACAGCATAGAAATGGATGCAGCTAGTACATGATTTCTCATTGTTGTGAGGAAAAACTTCTCGAGAATAACAGCAGAGGGAGACAGAGGACTACAAGTTTGCAAATGTCTTCAACTCCTAGGATCCAGTTCCTTTCAAGGAAAGGGTCGGATCTGGCTGAAGCTTCCTGGTTGTCATTGTCCTTTGTATGCTGGGATGGTGTCTTACTTTTTGCACTTGCAATCCATCACAGTATCTGTCACACAGCTGGAATGAAAAGAGAAATTATTTTCCCCAGAAATATTTAACCAGAAATACTAATGGAGCCCAGGAGGTATTGATTAGAAATTTTCCATGTCATTTTGAGTGGAGACTATTAATTTCTGGAGTGTCATTACCATAAACTTTCATCCACCCCACCCCACCCCCCACCCATAGCTTATACTACATATTTATAACCATTTGGAGGTGGATAGAATGGTTTAATGGAAGCACATGTTGACTTTAATTGCTGAAGTCCTTGTTCCTAGGGGCAAGAATAGTTTGAACCCATGGTAAAAATTAAACATGTGATTCTGGCCACAGCATAACTGAGTTGGGTGGTCCCATCCTTCCCCCTGGTTGGTGGGGATGGGAGGCTCTAGGCATTTTCTCAGTAATCTTTGGTGTCAACATCAGTTCACATGGCTAGCGAGAAGGCAGGTTACCACTAATGCACACAGACCATGTCCCATGGGGAAGCACATTTTCTATTTCCGAGTCCATACCCACCCACCCATCCAGTTTTCCACTTCTGCACTCTGGTCTCATCCTGTTTTTATTGTAAGTTCTGTGCCACCCAGCATCAATGACAAACTGCATCTAAAATACACATTATAATAACTGGCCTCCAGTGTGGCTTAGGCAGCAGCACATGTGCATTTGCCAATAGAGTCACACATATTGGCCTGCACACATGGTGTAATTTGAAAACAGTAAGTGGTCATTGGAGCAGAGATGTACCATTAAAATGACATTGTATTATACTGGTTTTCCTGAAATTTCCTTTGTTCACTTAACCATACCTCTTGAACAAAGGACTGGGATCAGGAGATTTCCCTATTCACTTCACTAAGCCCCAAGGCATGGCCAATACTGATGCTGTTTATCACACCAGAAGACAGAGAGTATAAAAAATATTTTCAAACATTTAGGAAAACTAGGGGAACCTGATATTATATCCAAAACAAAAGAAACATGATAATTAAAGTTTAAGAAAAATTTTCAAAGGTATTTCTATAAAAGTTGAATTGTTTTGTTTGTAATACAATATTTTTTTAAAAACTTCCTACTCATGGACAGTGTGAATAAACAGGGCAAGGTGTTGACAATATCAAGATTAGAAGTTCAAGTCCTTACAAGCCAATTAGGTTTGCCCTGATAGAGTGACTCCAGACACATTTAGTTTCTGTTAGCCATCTTGTAAGTGTGGGGTTGTGGTGATGGGGAGAGGTAGTTCCAAGAGGAAAAGAGTAGATCTACCCTGGCAATGGAAAAACCTCAGCACACGAGTTTCAGAGAAGTCTGGTAAATTGCAGGAAGAGCAAGGACAAGCAATAAGGGAACTCACCTGGACTGTAGTGCTGGCACTGTCATTTATGACCTGGGGAACCTCGCACAAGTCACTTAAACTATTCCTGCCTCAGCTTCCTAATCTGTAGATTAAAGGATTTGGAAAAGATGGCATCTGCTGTCACCTCTTGCGATGGTTTCAGTTATCACCATCTCCATACACAGAAGATAATCCTAAAGTTGAGGAGGTCATATTTTCACACAGTTTTGTACCACTTTCATTTATAAGCATACTAACAGTGGAAATATCTCATTAAAATTGATCGAACTTTGAGTAGCAACTGGGATTTTAAAAGCTTACAAGCAGCCATCTAGATGCAACAATGGGACTCTCCTCGTCCAGAGCAAAGAAGAATGAAGAAAACCAAAGACACATGGAAACAATTAATCCAAGTGAGTGGTACATCATGAAATCCTCAGCCTATATGACCATGAGACCAGAAAAACTAGATGGTGCCTGGCTACCATTGTCAACCACTCGAAGTGGGATCTATGTAGGAGATCCTGGATAGAGTGGGAGAACAATGTGGAACAAAACTCAAAATCATTTAAAAAGGGGGGGGGGCAGGTTTGCTGGTCTGATAAAGCCTGATGGACCCCTGAGACTATGGCCCCTAGATGCCCTTCAGGTCTGGAATTGAACCCATTCCTGTGGCTTCCAGCCAAACAAAAGATAGGCATATGAACTGAACATTTACATTAGGTAAATATGCTCCTTGGAGAGATCAATTATGGGAGAATAGAAGGGCTGTGTATGCACCGGGAGACAGCGGGGGTAGGGGGCAGAAGTGCATGGAAGGAAAGGACACCGGGAAGAGGTAACTATGGGGAGGAAGTAAGAGGGGAGTTTTGCATTGTGGGAAATTGCAGTCAGTCGTGAGACAAAGTGTATATGAGCTGCTGCATGAAAAGTGAATTTGCTCCATAAATTTTCACCCAAATCACAATAAAAATCAAGAAAAAAAATTGATCAAACTTAAGCTCAAAGTTCCAAATCAGCAAGGGATGCAGAACTCTTTTGTTTGCTTGTTTCTCTTTTCAGTTGCATATTCTACATTTACCTGTACAGATTACACTGAATCCAATGGCTCAGCACAAAGACACAGAGCTTTCTTAGGTTTCGTGTTCAGAGGATGTAATATTCCTGACCTTTTCATGTATTTCAAGATGACTAAATTCTTCCAAGTGGTTATCTGTTTCTTGGAAGCCTTAATTATCTTAGAAAGAGACTCTATTCGATTTCTCCTTTCGCCACTCTGGTCTACAGATATTTTCCCCCAAGAGTCAATGTCAAAGGGATGAAGGCAAAAGCAGATATTCAAGTCTTGGCCTTCCCCATGTCCCACTGCTAGCAACTTCTCTTCAGAGCTACCAAAATGTATGCATGGCCAGGAGGTATGTTTAAACGAGCAAAGGAAATTTAAAGGAATTGTGTAGAATGATGGTGAAAACAAGCAACAGCATCAATAACAAAACCCTACCTATGTGTATACGTGTATGTAGGGTTGTATTTGCTGATGCTTGTATTTTCTCCACAGAAAAAGAAATATAATTCGCTCTTGAGCATAGATATGCAACCCCACTCATTTAAGAAAAATAAAAAATAACCTACTTTGAGATACCTTTTTAAACCAATCAGAATCCAAAGTCTGATAATGTACTCTGTTGGCAAGGCTGTGGGAAAACAGGCACATTTTAGAAAGAACCAAAAACCAAAAACCAAAATCACTGCCATTGAGTCGATTCCAACCCATAGATACCCCATTGGGTTTCCAAGGCTGAACATCTTTACGGAAGCAGATTGCCTCATCTTCCTCCCATGGAGCAGCTGGTGGGTTTGAACTGCTGACCTCCTGGTTAGCAGCCAAATGCCTTACCAGAGCGCCTTTAACCACCATACCATGTTGTTGTTGTTATGTGCCATCAAGTCAGACTCGACTCATAGTGACCCCTCCTTGGGTTTCTGAGGCAGTATCACCACGGAAGTAGATTGCCCAATCTTCTTTCTAAGGAGTGGCTGGTGGGTTTGAACAGCCAGCCTTCTGGTTTGAAGTCAAGTTCCTTAGGCAATACGCTACCAGAGCTCCCATCATATGGTATAAATTGGAATCCTCTCTACAGAGGTCAATTTGGCAATATCTATTAAAATTTCAAATGTGTATCATTTAGACCTAGCAATTCCACTTCTGAGAATTAACTCACATGTGACATCACACAAGCTTCAGTTATAAGAGTGTAAAATTGGAAACAAAACAAATATCCACCAATAGGCAAATGGTTAAAAATATTTTAAAATATTCATATGATAGAATAGTATGCATTATATTTAAAAGAATGCAGAAACTCTATGTATATGCTGAAAGGGAGAGTGATTAGAATATATATGTCTTCATTTGTATTTGCATAGTGAAACTCTGGAAGGATATCCAAGAAACAAATAAATTAGTTACTAGTGGGAGTTGGAAGGGGAGGCATGGAAGAAAGATTTTTCACCATATAATTTTTATATTTTCAGATTTTTGAACTTGTGAATGTATTAGCTATTCAAAACTTTCATTTAAAAAAAAAACTCCTTTTTTAAAAGTTTGACTTAAAATCATAACTAAGTTAAGTTTAATGTTTGTGCCAGTATGATTTTTTTCATAACCTTATTTTCTACTTCTTACAGGGATGGAACAGGGAGCTCTGGTGGTGTGGTGCCTTAGGTATTTGACTGCTAACCAGAAAGCTGGCGGTTCAAATCTACCAGCTACTCCTTGGAAGGAAGTTTGAGCAATCTACTTCCCTAGTGATACCACCTCAGAAACCCAAGGATCTGGCTCGCAGGCAGTTAGTTTGTTTTTTTATAGGGATGGAAAGGCATGTTAGTCTCTTTTCTTAGTCAAGTATCTTCCAGGGGGACAATTTAGTTCTTGGATGCTACTGCCAAGGAGCTCTGTTTGCATAGAGCTCAAATCCACCAGCCACTCCTCGGAAGCAAGATGGGGCAATCTTCTTCCGTAGTGATATTGCCTGGGAAACCCAAGGAGGGTTCGCTATGAGTCGGGTCCGACTTGACGGCACATAACAACAACAACAACAACTGCCAAGGAGCTCTGTTTGCATAGAGGTTAAAACATATGGCTGCTAACCAAAAGGTAGGCGGTTTGAACCCACCAACTGTTCTGCAGAAGAAAGATGAGGCAGTGTGCTTCTGTAAAGATTTACAGCCTTGGGAACCTTATGAGGCAGTTCTACTCTGTCCTATAGGGTCACTATGAGTAAAAGTCAACTCAGTGACCATGGGTTTTTTGGTTTTATACTACTTCCACTTGGTAGCAGCATTCTGCATTGCAAGTACAGATCTTTTATTCTTTTTTTCTTGAAAGGTGAATAAAACACTTTTGCAAAAAAGATTATGAAGTTGATACTGATAAAGGAATCATTAATATCACACACAATGTAACTTTATTATCTGGCTTTTCTCTTTAGAAATGAAAGCTGGATCCAGAAGTAGTAATAACAATAAAGCATAAAAAGTGACAGAGGAAAGTTGCTTCACCTCTAATAAGAAATAGATTTTCTGTTTCAACACACTCACAAACCATTATAATTTTGGTCAGTTTTTATATTGAACCCTGAAGTAACAATGTAAGCAACAACGTGAAAATGGGCCA